ACAAAGTATCTTTAAAGTTACACAATAATGATAAGAAAACGACACAAGATCTAACGCGATTGGTTTTTCATTCAAAATGTCCCATCCAACACTTTATAATACTGTCAAAAACAGTCGCTTCCTTTATGGTCTCTTGAAACCAGTTGCTAGCTTCTATGCTAATATCGCTGGATATAGGCAACTAGGTATGCATCTTATTGTAGGAGGGATTTAACTTTATTGTGTTATTCTCGGGGAACATTTAAGTGTTTCTAAAGTTTTATTTTAAAATATAGGCTTAAGATATGACGATATCTTAAATGACGAGAGTGATACTACTAAGGAAGCGTTAAAACGCATATCGCCCAAGGAACAAGATCTTAGAACTTATCGAATTCGAACTGCTTTTCAATTATCCTTACAACATGATATTTTGCCAAAAGAAAAATGGACAAAACCTGAAGATGTGGGTTTATTATTCAATCCATTTTTTCCGTAATATTAAAAAGAATTTTGATACTATTTTAATATTATTCTAATATAAATTTAAGGATGTAAGGTATCTTTCACCCCATATAGATGAGATTGTAAAAGAAGAAGAAGAACGAGAAGCTTTCGATGCAATCAAAGTTGTTCGCAAATAGTATAGGTAATTTCATTACTTCTAATACAATACATACTTTTAAAAATAACAAGTTAAAAAAATTATTATTTTAGACTAAACTTTTGAAAATATGTATTAAAATATATATTAAGCTATAAAATAAATAAGGCCATGTAAAATTAATTAATTGGTTTTCATAACCCGGTCGGATCAAATTTTTTATGTTTTCATAAATTCTGTGTCTGTTGAAAATTTGCCAATGATAGGTTTTTGATGTCGGCTGACTTTGGCAACTTTTGATTCAGACTCGGTAGCTTATTTATTGATTTGGTCATCAGAAATTATTGTCCAGAATTTACGATAACAGCCGTAATAACGTACCGTACCGTTTTTGATAGGGTTTTTAAAGGAACCTCGAGGTAATTACAATGAGAATGCTAAAGTCATGACTCATGGTTAGTTATTCCATAATGTTGATTTCAACTTACCTAAATATTGATCCTTAAAATAATACAATACCTGATACCGTATCTACGCGAAGTAACGCACATGGGCATTATTCGAGACACTTAATCGAAGAGAGTTATAATAATTAATTTAGCAAAAGAATTTTAACAATAATACTATGGTTGTATTTGGTTAAATTAATTGTCAGCTCTCTTTGGATTACATATCTTAAAATAACGTCCATAGGCGTTATTTCGCGCAAATACTGTAAGGATTTGGGTTGGAAAACTTTTACTGAATGACTGAAATCTAAATTTCTATGCAAACTATTTCCGATTTTTTAATTTTTATGCTTCGTGTTGATCTAGTTGGGCAGTAATAATGGGCTACAAAGTTTACGCCATAGTTTTATATTTCGACAGTAGTGTAATTTTTAGATCCCTATCTGGAACGGTACATAAATCGTTCCCATCAGGGACAGTACTTTGCAGCCAGGTGAGTTTTAAAAAAAATTTTTAAAAAAAAGCCGGCTGGCTAGGTTTAATTAAATGTTCATTAATTTTTGATTTTTCTTTTTATATACGTAGGCTATTTTATACCAATATTTAAAAGATTGAGTATTATCAGTTATATAATATATATAGTGTAAATTTAAAAATTAAATAAAAATTAAGATTTGGACAAATGTAGTTTATTTATATGGGAAAAGGTTTTTAGTGCACCTGCACTATAGTGCATCCTCCTATAATTTTTTTTTTAAAATTAGTTTATACTTATATATAGTAATTTTTAGGCTAATATAAGAAAGAGCATTATTATATACAAAATTGTCTAAAAAACAGGTTTACTTAGAAAATAAAATTAGATTATCTTAGTAAAAAAAAAAAAGTTATATAATAATTAAAAGTTTTTTTAAACTTTAATCTAATGCTAGCTCTTTTTTTTACTTAGATAACTGTCTTTTGTTTATTAAGTAAACTTGTTCAGCAGATTAAATTACACTTTTAATTATGTCAGATTTATAATTTTTAAACTTTTTACTAATACAAAAACATAAATATTTGAATTTTTTAGTTTTTTTTTTATAAAATTTAGTATAACGTAGCACGAATTTTTCCATTTTTTATTGGCTAAAATTAGGGTGCATTACAGTGCAGGTGCAATAAAAACTTAAACCCTATTTATATATATATATATATAGTTATATTTTTTTTTTTTAGCAATCCTGCCTTTATTTATGTGAACTGTTATATAATTTATGTACAAAAATACTAAATTCCTACAACTTATTGTTCTAACCTAATAAAGACTCACCAGGCTGATTACTCAGTGCAACCTGCCATAACAACTGTTTACCTTCCTTGGGATCCTTAACTTTCTAAGGATTTCGTATTTTTTTTCTGGTACCCCCCTTGTTTATAAGTAGGCCATTGTATGCCTTGTCAAGAGCACTTAAAAATCTTGTCGAATCTTAGCCAGCGAGAACTATGCTGGCTTCCTTCCCCATGCGACCCATTCTTCTATTATTCTATCCTTTTTCTCGTTTATTTTTGCCTTTCCTGCTACTATTTTCTTCTGCTATTTTTTTTTTGTGATCAGCTTCTTGTGGGTCTGTGTTTTCTTTATCTTTTTCTTTCTTCTTCTTTCTGGTCTTCTTTTTTTCCTTTTTTTTCTGTTTCTTTTCTTTGGTTATATTGTTTCTTTTTTCCTATTCTGAAACTAGTTCATATCTAAAGCTCCATATGTGCTTGAAGAACTGACATTGGAAGTGATTAAGGATGGTCTGTGTAAACTTGCTGACTTTCCTTGCTTCGCCTAGAATCATGCATATGTTTTCCTGTCTTTGTTTTGTGATTATCCCCTTCATTAACTTCTCTTGTTGCAATTTTTTCTTGTATGCTCTTGCCGAAGATTAGCTCTTGTATTTCCTAAATATATATTTATGGTTTTTAGCTTTTCTTTTTTTCTTTATTGCTTTTTCTAAGAGAAGTTCACTTCCTTCCTTTTCCAAAGTCTTTGTAGATCTGAGCATGCTGCAAGGTGGTTTTGTGTCTCTGCTTCTTGTTCACATATCTTGCATATGTCATTTGTATATAACTCTGTTTTCTTTGTATTGAGAACTTGTATCATTGGGAGTAGACCATTTAGACACTTTATTTTGAATATTCACTCTTTGTTTTGAGTTGAACTTCTGCATCTCTTTCCTTTTACTCGCCCTATATCTTTCCAAACTTTATTCCACACTATTGTATTTGCTTCTCGTTCAGCATTGACCCACTTGTTTATACTTTTGAGTTCCTTCCACTCCGTATCTATACTGATTTCTGTTAGTTGTGTGATAAAGCTTCGTGTTGCATTATTGACTCTTATATCTTTTCACTTTAGCTCTGTTATTGCTTGCTTGTTTCATAACCATCTTGAGTTGACTAATGCTAAATAGTAAACATCTTTTTTTGCCAGTCTGTCTGCCTCTTCATTTTCTTTTACACTGCTATGTGCCTTTACTTTTTTAAACTAGATCTTAAGCTTTTTTAGATTAATGGTCTGTTGTATTTGCTCTAGCAAACAGAGATTTTTCCTTTTCAGTACTTCAGATGCTTTTTTCTTCTTTTGGCTTGCCTGTATTGCCTGAATTGCTGCAACTCTGTCAGTGTATATATCAATTCTTGCCTTGCAGGGAGCTGCTAGAAAAGCTGTCCATATTGCACCTAGTTTGGCTCTGGTTGAGGATAGCTAATCTTTTATTGCCCTGTAGTAGCTAGCTAGAATTTGCTTGCTTGCTTTGTTTCTTTCTTCTAAAACTGCAACCTAGCCAAGACACATTTTTTTCCTCTCTGGTTCCTCTTCTGAGTTAAGCAGGGACCTGTCTGTGTAGAACGTGATCTTTGTTTCCTTTTTTAGTTTTGTTGCTACTTCTTTTAATGTTGCTGCAGCTTGTGTATTTTCGATAGCTTGGTCTATTGTTTCTTCTTCTAGTGGGTATATTATAATCTTCTTTAATTGTAGCTTCTGTCATCTCTTTTCTCTGTCTGATAATAGCTCTGTTTGCTGAAGTACATCTGTGAAGCAGCTTAGTGAAACACATAGCTTTTGTCTCTCCCCTTGGCTTGATAGCTTCTGGATGAACCTTGGGCTAATTTCTACCATATCACTTTTCCAGCTTCTTTTTATACAAGTGGTGTCTATGCAATTTCTTCTTGCCATATTTATGTTGCACTCTTTGCACCTGTCGAGTATAAGAAGGTTCTCTTGAGGATCTAGAGCAGCCGACCAATGCTTAGTTATTACTGTTTTTTTTTCTCTTTTTTCTACTATCCTTCCTATCTCTGTCATGTTATTGGTTCTGATAAGGACCCACTCTTTTCTTCTTCTGTTATCACTTATTAGTACAAGGTCTACCTGAAGTGATAGATGATTGGGTGTTTTTGCTCTTAGATTTGACTTGACTTCTCTTATATTCGTATTCTTGAGAGCCTTTTTTTCGATTTTCTTGAACCAGTTTAGAGTTTTTCCGGCTATTTTTTTCTTTTTACACTTCTTGATTTGGCTTCATGTTAGCAATTTTAACCCTTCTCTATCTAATACTGTACTTGCTCAAGTACTATAATACCCATTTCTTTTTCTTGTACAAATTTTCTTGACTCTTTGTCATCTAGTAGATCGACTATCTCCAAGCCTGACTCTACTAGTTTTAGGTTATTTTCTTTTTCTCTTGACCTTATACTTAGGTTCATTTCTTTGGCTGCAACTATAATTTTGTATGTTAGATTTTGTTTAGATACAATTTTTTTAAGTCTTTCAGTACTTAATTCTGTTATGCATCTTGTACTTTTGCAATTGTTCTGGGCTTGCTGCATTCTGATCCATGTTGCCTTGCCCATTTCATTGTTGCTATTTAATCTTTTTCTTAGCTCTGTTAT